TTTTAAAAAAAAAAAAAATTCGGCATAACCTCCCCTAAAATGGAGCTACCGCAACCTGTTTAAATGCATATTTAACCTGTCATGTAACTAATTTCCGAATTTACGGCAACAAAAGATAATGATACAACCTACTAATCTAGACAATGCTTCAAGCTAGGATTATCCTTCCATTTATCAACAAGTTACATATCATCAAGTTCGCATCCTATATGTCATCAAGTATCATAAGTGTATTACATGATCATGGTTCTTCAAAAGAAATTTACATCATTACACCTTTGGAATTTTACAAAAAATGAGGGATGAACAAAGGAGTAGTCTATTACAAAATAACAAGGAAAATGCTCCTCTAGTAACTTTCAAAGTTGGGGTGGATTGTCGTCCACCGGTTCTTTTCCAAGACCTGAAAAAAAAAATATAGATATAGGGGTGAGCATATAGCTTAGCAGAGACACTTAAGACACAAATCTTGTGTCCTTGTGAATTCAAGCAAAGCATAGGCCAATGGGAGATAGGGATCATACAACGTAGGGGATCAAATACAACATACCATTCAATTCCAATTATAAACAATGCAATGCAATGCAATGAAATGCAATGCATGTCAATGACACTCCCCATTTTCATTCTCAAAACCATCACTTTCAAACGTTAATACAGCCCGCCCTTTGGTAACCCCGCCGCGACACGAGAGGAGAATTGGCTAGTGTCCCTGACCCTTGGTAACCCCGCGGCGTCATTATGGGGCCCAGCTAGCTCAACCACACTAGGGCGACTCCCTAGTCCCCTCTAGGCTATATTAACCTCCGGCCCGTTGGTAAACCCGCAGCGACCGGGTTTCGCATAAAATCATTTCATCAAAAACACTTTCTTGAAATTTCCCCTTTTTGAAGTAAATCAATTCTTTCCCTTTTCCTGCCCAATGTTAATGCATGAATACCTCAATGACATACACAAATTCATCATTCCATACTTTATCCAATTTAAGCAACATGGCATAATTCGCAAGAATAATCAAGAAAGTCATAACATGCTTATACATAACAAGTTCTAGCACAATGAACATATATAATCAAGTCCTAAACATGTTTCACATAGAACCATCAACAAATATAGTCACACAACTAACATATATGCATACATATCAACAATTCTCTAGATTTTAAACAACTAATCAAATTAAACAACAATTAGAGGCAATTAACTCACTAAGGTACAAGATTTCATGAATTAAGGGCCCCTACCTCAAGATTGCACCAAAACCCTAGAAAATGGGTCCTCAAATTCGAGCTCCAAGGAAGACTCAAAACTGGAAATTGATGGTATGGATGTATAGAGCTTGACACGAGCTTCGTTTTGCCTCAAACGGAACCTAATTCCAACAAGAAATGAGTAAGAAATCTAACCTTAAAGTTGAAACCAAAAAATAAGAGAAAAATGAGCTTACGGGTTGAGAGAGAGATGCACAAAGAGAGAGAAAGGGAATCAGGAAAATGAGACCAACTTTATGGTCTTGACCCTTTTCTAAAGTGCCTTGTGGGCCCCACCATTAAATTATTTTTCTTTTACTTTTATTTTACACTACACACACACAATAAATACACAGACATCACAGGGTTTACTAAAAAATGTTACAAGACGAGTGGGACTTTTTGTACTTTGCCCCTTTTTTTATATACAATAATAATAATAATTACCCTTTCAAATACATAGTGAATAATTTGCAGATGTCTCGATAGTTCAGTGGGTCAGTGTCTCCGCTGGACTTTGGAGAGCCATGTTTCAACTCTCTACATCTACTAATCTAACTTTTAACACTTCTTGCTTTGTTAAAAAAAATATATAAATACATAGGGAATAATTTGGTCATGTATAAGCTTTTCAATTTTAGGCATGACTTTGTAGGTATATGTTTTCTTCTGCAACTCACCAGTAAACCGAAATCCCAATCCTGTTTATATGCAACTAGTGACTTTTTTGTGTGTAATTTATGTGTGAATATGACAACATCAAGAATCAAGAAAGCTGTCAAAGCCCTGTATGCGGTCCTGTCAAATTCTCTAACCTCCAAATTTGGTGGTGAGTCGGAGTCGATTAAAATGAATCTAATGTGAACATAAGATCTTAATTTATTAGAGTGTTTGGGTGAGAGTTTGTTGATGGTGATCAGGTGGGGACTGGGGAAGTTTAACAACCAAAACCTTAATTTTAATTTTTACATATACAACCTCAAGTTTCTAGATGGAAGACTTGGATCTAAATTTTTAATTTTTAATTAGGGTTATTTTTTATAATTATTTATGTGGTTTCCACCAGGGATGGAAGACTTGGACTTAAAATATGATATCGATCTCTGTTGGGGTTAATTTTTTTATATATTCGACTCTATATGTAAATGAATAATTCTAAAAATTTTCTTATAAATACCTCCAGTATTTTATTTTTTTAAAATAACATAAGATTGTTAGAGTAGATTTTTAGATTACCTATTTCTCTTTGGTTATGAAGATTTGTTATACAAATTTTATATTTCTGGAATCCTTATTTCATAACTTTTCTGTGCATATATTATTTGCAATTTTTAAGTATACGGTTTGTGAGATATGAATTTTTGAATTTCGGAAGAATTAAGATTTAAATATAAGGGTATTTTGGTACAAATAACTCTTTTACCCCCTTTAGATAGTTGAGGCGAGGGGGGTTCTTTGGTAAAAAAAAATAGGCAAGGAGAGTTTACTGAAAAATGTTACAAGTCGAGTGGGATTTTCTGAACTTTGCCCCCTTTTTTTATATAGTAATAATTACCCTTTCAAATACATAGTGAATAATTTGTAAATGTGTCGATAGTCCAGTGGGTCAGTGCCTCCGGTAGACTTTGGAGAGCCAGGTTTCGAACCTCTGCATCTACTAATTTAACTTCTAACACTTCTTACCTTGTTAAAAAAAATTATAAATACATTGGGAATAATTTGGTCATGTATAAGCTTTCCAATTTTAGGCATATGTTTTCTTCTGCAACTCACTAGTATACCGAAATCCCATTCCTGTTTATATGCAACTAGTGACTTTTTTGCGTGTAATTTATTTGTGAATATGATGACAACATCAAGAATCAAGAAAGCTGTCAAAGCCCTTTTCTTCCACCCTATGCGGTCCTGTCAAATTCTCTAACCTCCACATTTGGTGGTGAGTCGGAGTTGATTAAAATGAATCTAATGCGAACACAAGCTCTTACTTTATTAGAAAGACAGTGAAAATTGTTTGGGTGAGAGTTTGTTGATGGTGATCTGGTGGGGACTGGGGAAGTTTAACAACCAAAACCTTAATTTTAATTTTTACATATACAACCTCAAGTTTCTAGATGGAAGACTTGGATCAAAGTCGCTTAAACTAGAACATAGTTATTTACTTAATATTATTAATAATAATATTTCTATTTATATTATCACTTACATCATTGACTAAAACCACTCCTAACTGAACCTACAGGGACATGTGATGGTGTGGTTGCCTTGATTTTTTTTTTTTGTTAATTTACTTACTGTTATCCCAAGTCCATATATGTTACCACAGTTTTGCTTCTCATCAATTTGTAAGGAATTGATGAAAACTTTGGCTTTGTATTAATAAAATTGTAGTAAAAAGATAAATTTTGAGAAGAAATTTGGACAAATTTTACTTACTTCTCATGAAATTTGTCAATATCTTATATAGACCTCTTTACATTTAATAATTCTAAATTTTTACTATTTCTAGTAATTTTTTTACCATTTCGTCTATTAAATGTTTGATGTCATATTAGGTATTAGAAAGACAAAATGATCAAATAAGGAAAAATTTATTACATAAATAAGAATATGAGGGAAAATAAGTGAGACCGTGAGATTATGAAACGTAAGTGAAACTTATTTTCTTATTTTCTTTCTAGCACTCTCTGATTAACAAAAACTAAATTAAAAAGTGACTTCTTTTTATCTTAATTAATAAAATAAAATAAAGGCTAGCCCCACCTCCAATTGAGGAATAATTTTACGGTTGTGCCTAAACCATCCCTCATTTTCGTATCAATTAAATGCTTTATAAAAAACTATTATACTGCAGATTTATAGTACCTGGAATATACATAATTCTTATAAACCCAAGCCAAAAAAGCAAGAAAAAAATCCTCGTCTGAATAGAGAAATAAAAACCATAAGTTTCTAGATGGAAGACTTGGATCAAAGTCGCTTAAACAAGAACATAGTTAATTTTCTTAATATTGTTAATTATAATATTTCTATTTATATTATCACTTACATCATTGACTAAAACCATTGCTAACTGAACCTACAGGGACATGTGATGGTGTCGTTGGCTTAAATATTTTGAATTAAAATCCTCTTCGGTCCGAAAAAACGTTGAGCACATTACCAATGGCAATGACCGGATTCACATGGTCCATGTAGTCTCCATTCTCACCATAAATTTACATATTGAGAATTTTTTATTTTTTATTTTTTTGTTAATTTACTTATTATTAGTAGATAAAGAGAGTCCCTTCAAATTTTACTAGAAGTACTAATTCACTAAGCTAACGAGAGAGCTGCTTATTATTATTATTATTCAAAGTCTATATATGTTACCACAGTTTTGCATCTTTTCAATTTGTAAGGACTTTAAGAAAACTTTCGCTTTGTATTAATAAATTTGTAGTAAAAAGATTAATTTTGAGCATATATATATATAAAAAAATTTCTTCTTAGGTACGTGTATTAGACTTATAACGTACGTACCATCTAAATTAGGAGTGCGATTCAAAAACGAAATCTTAAGAACTTACTTCCTAAATCTCTGTCAATACGATTACGTCACTGAGAATTTTTTAAACAAATTTTACTTACTATTCTTGAGATTTGTTAATATTTTATATAAACATCTCTACGTTTCACAATTTTACTAATCTCTTGTAACTTTTTTTTTATCATTTAGCCCATAAAATATTTGATGTCATATTAAAAAGGCAAAATGGTTAAACAAGAATAAATTTGTTATACAAACGAGAACCTAAATGAGATTATGAAATGTAAGCATGACCTATTTTCTTATTTCTAACACTTTCAGTTTTTTCATCTTAAAAAAAAAAATAACTGTGGGGGAATAGCCCCACCTCGAATTGAGGAGTAATTTTACGGTTGTTCCAAAAACGTCCCTCATTTTCATCTCAATAATATGCTTTATAAAAAACTATTGTACTACAGACTTATAGTACCTGGAATATACATAGACTTAGAGTTGAAGATTCTTATAATGCCAAGCCAAAAAAGCAATATAAAAATCTTAGTCTGAATAGAAGAATAAAAACCATCTTTAGAATATGGTGAGAGTGTGAACAAGTTGAAATATTGTTGGGCAAATGAACAAAAATCAAAATAATTGTACTGGAAAGTGGTCCCACCACATCACCACTATAATTGAAAGGAAACTTCCAATAAGCCCACCCAAGACGTAAAAGAAAATGAAAACGTGTGGCTTGTGATGTGTGTTTGATCTAGAAGCTCTTTTAAACAGAAAGCTAGAGCCAAGACAAAATATTAAAAACAGCCTACCCTTCTAGATTAACAACTTAAACTTCTTTCTGATTATATGTATATCGATTGCTATCATCTTATATATATATAGACATGCTTGCCTACTCCTTGTTTATGCAGAGATATATTACTCTTATCTATCTTCCCCAAATCAAAACTCTGTTCAAATCAAACAGAAGAGAAATGGGTTGTTCTAGGCATGCTCTGTTTCTGATGTTGCTTCTGGTAATTGGTTTTACACTTGAGGAAGCGAGTACTGCAGAAGCCAGACCATTCTCTCTTTCATTTCAACAAGGTAAGGATAACTAATTAATCTCTCTCTCACTCTCTCTCTCTCTCTATATATATATATACGTATATATTTATAAATCTCACTATGTGTGTGTGTGTGTAGTGATTTTATTCTGATGAATGGTCTGCTAAAATGATTTACAGGACAGTCGAATATTTTTGGAACTCTTGGACTGGTTTGCAAGTGTTGTGATGGTGATGGTGATGGAGGAGAATGCACAAGTACATGGTCTGGATCTTGCTCTAAGCTCCAGTGCGAGCCTTGGAAGCTTCATTGATTTATGTGTGTGTGTGTGTGTGTGTATATATAGCTTTTAATTTTGTTGTACATACTAATTACTACATACCAATATTAAATGAAATCAATTGGGTTCCAACCCAATTTCGAGGTTTCATTTCTCTCCAATTCTCTACTAGTAGTCTGAGTGTTCTTTAAAATGGATGTCAAAAATTGAATTTTCTAGGTGTAATGCATATATTCAAACTAAAGCAACACTAGACATATTTACTTTTCTTTTTCACCCCAAGTCACAAAATTTTCATTATAAAAACAGTATATGTCAAAAAAAAAAAGAATCTGAAGTTTTTTTTTAAAAAAACTCATTTAGAATTCGTCAAATCTTATTGGTCTATTACCAAAATAAATATTACTTGTATTTGAAAGCACGAAATTAATAATATGGAATTAGAAAAAATTTTGTTCATTGATCATAATTGACAAGAAGCTTTACCGACTAAAAATAGATTACTGTGTCTAAAAGACTACATGAAAATGACAAAAATTTTCTAGGTGTAATGCATATATTCAAACTAAAGCAACACTAGACATAAATCACTTTTTTTTTTCACCACAAGTCACAAAATTTTCATTATAAAAACAGTATATGTCCAAAAAAAAATCTGAAGTCTTAAAAAAAAACTCATTTAGAATTCGTCAAATCTTATTGGTCTTTTACCAAAATAAATATTCCTTGTATTTGAAAGCACGAAATTAATATTATGAAATTAAAAAAAATTTAGTTCATTGATCATAATTGACAAGAAGCTTTACCGACTAAAAGTAGATTACAGTGTCTAAAAGATGAATTGGGTTCTTGACAAAAATGGCCAATTTATTCCGAAAAGCATCCTCTGCAGAAGACTTGATTCTCTTCATCTGGGACAAGTCGACAAAACTTTGCCAATTTTCTTTGTACTCTATCAATCATGTATTATCTAGACCCTACAAAGGTCCCCGAAGACTTGGACCCAGTCAATGAAAATGTTATTTTATACATGTAAGAATCAACACCATTCAATTAATTAACTATTTTTAAAACAAATTTCATTCATTGAGATTGGCATGATTTAATACTCTTAAAAAAAATGGGTTACCTTAAAATATTGTTGAAAATGTTACTCAGTGTTCCTCTTTACAAAAAATAGTGTGAAGAAGACTCAGAAAGACCAAACAGTTGCAGGTATTAATTTATACAAAATATTGTTGCTCTCAAAATAAGTTAAATAACTCATGTCTTGATGCTTCCCAACAATGCTTAGCTTTTTACCATATTATTAATTAATACCTCCTTTGAAGATTGATGTGCTTGAATAATTTTATTGAAAAGCGTAAAAGTAAGAAAATAATAAAATATAAATTACAGAGAGTGAAAATACGTGAGTTTCTTGCGCTGGTTTAAAAGAATTGTGAGATTTAGTACAACCACGCATAATGCCCTCAAATTTTTGATGCATTACCTGCACTACAACTTTGATACAAAAATTATTGTCTGCAAGACCACCCCACTGACCAGAGCTTTGATGTTGATGAGATATGTCATTTGTGCTGGAAATGGGAATGTCAAAAAGGGCTATGGGCCTGAAGCCCATTTTGCCCTGTAAATGCAAAAGAGCCCAACAGTCTTGGCTTACCCTTTGCCGTCTTACATGATTACATCCCAGTTACAAATAAATACCATGTTCCAGGTCTAGGGTGAGCCCTACGACGTCATTGATATGCTCAATCACAGGCATACTTGTTGGAGGAGTTGGACGTTCTACTAACTAGACTATTGGGTAATGTTTTTAACGGATTCTCTACTATAACATGTCGTACATTTTCAATGCAATTAAATCATATTTGAACACTATCACTTCTAGTGTTGAATATATCCACAGCATGGTGTAGTGCAATGCCAGGGGCGGCTCAATATAATTTGAGGCGCGAAAAAAATAAAGTGATCTTTTAATTAAATCTACTTATATATTTATGCTAGTAATATGCTCATTGTTTGTTTTGTCATGTTTAAACTTACCACTAAAAATTTTTCAATCTCTAGTTTCATCACTAGTTTATTGGCTATGTGCTTTTTAATAGACACATTCAGTAATATAAATAAAAAATTATAAACAAAATATATAATTTATGATAACAGAATATATAAGTTATAGAATAATGGAAACTGATTTTGAAAATTTTGGTCCAATGGTTTAATGATTTCACATGTCACTTGTAAAATTTTGTTCCAAAATATTATAATTCAACCGCCTAACCCGTCTAAGGGTCCAGACAGACGGTCATGTGCACCGCAAAGATCTTGACTTCAGATAATAATCAAATAGTGAATTAGTGATGGCCAAGAAGATAACCTAACTGGGCAAAGCTTAAACTTGTGGCATCAACTTTTTGGGCCATAAAAATTTTAAGTTGGGCTCCGACAAACGTGGAAAGTTCAAACTTCAAACAACTAATGCGGCCCAAGCAACATGTGAATTGCTTCTTCACGCTGTGCTTTGGAATAAATTGCAATTACACCAAACACGTCGTTAACATGATCAAACCAAGACCAAAATATTACATCATATTCAATCAAACCACCACCACCACCACCACCGACGATTGAACTTTCAACATAAAACAGTAATCCAAGTTTAGGGTTATTGTCGAATCTAGGTCATACAATCAACAATTGTTAGAGCTGAACTAGTGATTGAGTTGAACACTACTATATTATTATTGGAATTTGACTTTGTTTACTTGTTAGATTTATCAAAATCAATCCATTGATTTGCCAACTTTTGATAACCTCCTCAATAAACCTCTGCCTTATGGTTGTAAGAAGGCCACAGAATATATGCAGATATGTGGAGGAGACCCAGAAGGCAGCAGCACATAACAAGTGGGGGTTGATTAGCTGTCATTTTCTAATACGTTTTTGTCAGTTTCTTGTGGTTTTTTGCGTGGAATTTGTATGCCCATTTCTTTGACTCTACCATCTGTCTGTTTGTTTAATTCAACAGTAGAGGTGTTGCATTCTCATCCACAATATAATCTTTTTCAACCAAATTGTCCCATTTTTAGATTAGTCCATCACACACATAAATAGAATAAACAAAATGTAATGTTAGCCATTCATTTGGATAGTGTCACATGATGATCCTATTATTGTAATTTAATAGTTAATTGCCTGATATTTAGATAAGGATAACGATTCTCAATTATAAACTCTGACGGTGAACGACTCTATCCAATCAATTACAGAGATATTTGGGGTAAAATGCTAAGTGTAAATAACATTGTCAACAATAGTACTATTTTTTTTTTTTTTTTTTTTTTTTTTTTTTTTTTCAGTTAAGGTCAAGAATCGTACTGTTGCTACACTGAAGAGGATATCACTTTCATTACAATTAGGTCATACTGTCATAGAACCATCGACTCACATGATATGCAGGGCCTATATATAGGTCAGAAATGTCCTTCCATTAATGGCCCTAGTGTGTGTATTATACACACACTAGGGGCAGATCCTTTGCATTATATTGATGGAAGTACTGGGAGTAGAGTGACAGGATTGATTGAGTGAGAGAGAATGTGACCCCCCATGTGGCCAAAAACTTGACACACGTCCTAGAAGAGAACATGCGGCGACTCTCAGTGGTAAAATGATAAGTTGCCTCTCGTGTTTGTGGACCCTTAAATCGTCCCCAATTGCATGTGTCACCCCATCACCATCATTATCTCTTAATCTTCTTTCCTTACTTTTCTCTCTTACTTTCTTTGCCATCAACACATCAAAGATGCACTTGAAATTAAAGTGAAATAAAAATCCAATTAATTTTTAACAATCTCATCATCTTTCTGAAGAGGTTACAAAGTGAAGGGACACAACTTTTGGACAAACCCTAGTGAAAGATATTTATTAATGTGTTGCATATAGTATACAATATCATGATTGCATAATGACTTGTGGTGTCACTGTTTCTTTACTATTAAATAAGCCGTCCTAATTTATTAGGCTGCAACACAAAAATAGAAAAAATTGTTTATTTATCGGTGATGGTCATTTTTTTTTAAAATTTGAAAAATGATAAATAAAGGAATTAGAGAACGTGATTGAATTTATTAAAAAAACAGTTATTATTCTTATTTATCACAGTCTCATCTTGCAATTAGTGTTATCGAATCATATCAGTGATTTGTAAGAATAATCTATTCATTGATGGGTAGGTAAGTCTTGTCAATAAGAACTCAATCTGATTGCGGTGAATACATGTTACGTAGATATTTGTGAGCTTACCATGTGTAGACTCCACTTCCAAAAGGGTTATAGATTTGGATTTATTTATTTATTTATTTGGACTTATTTATTAATAAAATAGGTAATAAATATAATGAATTTTAAAAAAGGGTAGTTTAGATTGACTTCTTCGGTTTTGATGACTTGTGCAAGTAGAATTACTGATGGATTGACTAGCTTCTTTGGTTTAGATGACATGTGCAAGTAGAATTACTGAAATCACCTCACTCTTTTACCTTAACTAAATTATAAGCATTGATAGAATGGTGGAGTTTTAAACGTTAAATGATGAATGGTGAGTTTCTAGTTCTAAATTTTTTTTTTTAATTAAAATTGTAAATTTCATTATGCTTGCCCATAAACTAGTTTGCTTAGTTCACGAGAATAGTAAGAGAGTGCTCAAGACTGAAACAATCTCATTTGAGACTGACAGGAGTAGGACAACTTTAACTCTAATTTAAAAAACTTAAAAATTTATAGAAGAAAAAATATAGACAAAAACATGGCTTCGACTAAAGCCCTTAGAAGCCATCTAAATATTATAGAATTTATAGATGATTGCATCTTTAATAAAATAGAAAGTTCTCAAATATAATAATTCTATTAGAATTTATTCTTCTTTAGGGCACCTGTTTGGTTAGATGGAAATAAGTAAGAAATGAAATGAAATAGAAAGTGAAGTGAATGAAAAGAAAAGAAATTTTTTAGCATGTATTTGGTTAGTATAAAAATTTATTCAAAAAAATTGTAGAAAAATATTAGTTTGTTAATTTGAATAATATAAAAGTGAAAAGAAAGTGATTATACATACTAAAACTACCCTTATGAAGTAAAATAATGGATTATTAATTCAAATATATAATTATTTATATTCATTTCTATTATTTATATTTAGAATAAGGTTTCATAATATTTTCTTAGGTAAAACTAATTATTAGTTTAAAATAATTAATTTTAAAAATTAGAAATGATGAAGCAATATTGCTGTTTCGGATAAAAATCAAATATTTCACCATTTATATATATATATATATATATATATATATATATATATCCAAACGGGATTATGAGTGGCTAAAATTACAACATAAAACAAACCATTTAAAAAAATAAAAATTCTACTTAGAAGCAAGATATATTCTGACCAATTTTACTTAAATTATATTTGATATTCTGTACATATAACTGTATAATTTGCTTTGCTAACTTATCTCATAATAGAAATTGTTTTAAAGACTATTTACCTCAAAATAGAAGTTGTTTTGGAGAGAACTTTGACGGAAATTTTTTTGAAGGAAAATATGAAGGGAATCTAAATTTTAGATTAGGTTTCTCTTTTTATCTATCTAAACTTTTAAAAAATTTAAAAATTTCTCTTTCCTTTCTTTTCTAATTGTTTTCACCGAACCAAGCAAAACCTAGATTACTCTCTAACATAAGAAATATTATAATTTCTCTAGAATCTGTTTCTCCTTAAATTTAAAATTAGAAAAAAATTAATTAAAATTTTAAATTAAATTTCCTTCAATTGCTCCCAATTTCTTCAATTTGGGACCTTTAATGTGCATAGGAAAGGAAACTACGAGGAAGGTTCTTGGGCTTGGCCTTTTTGACAGTGTCGTAAAGTGGCTATGACAATTGATGATAAATCCTCCACTTATCCATAATTTCATCGCAGATGTGAGCCTCCTCTTCCAACATATTCCAATCAGTTCAGTTCATATTTGGAGAGAGATGGTGTTTGAGGTCCACAACGATTGTTCTTTTTTTCAATTTTATTCTGGCAAATTAAGAAAAAGTTTTTTTTTCATAAATTTATAACAGCAATATGATAAATCATAAAAATATTTGATATAAAATTTAATTTAAAGATATTAGTTGCAGAAGTTAAATACTAGTAGTAACTAAATGTACAAGAATGGTTTGCAATAACAACCCGATTGAATTTATAATTTAAGTTTTTAAGTTAGTCACAAGTGTGATATGATTCCAAACTACATACATACATGGAGAAATGAGTTGAGATTGACCAGTCTTCGACTTGACTCCGCTTAATGTGCAGTTCTAGATTTCTTAAACTCTATTATTTACCATCTAAACTGATAAGTGAGAGAAAAGAACAACACCCACTCCGATCCCCTTGGCTGCCAAAGGATAAAAAGATAAGGTTACGCCCTTAGGGCCCTCTTTCTCTCTCTAAAATACACACACACTCTCTCTCTCTCTCTCTCTTTATATTTTATACACATACAGACTCACTGTTTATATATGTATTCAAACGCGTCAAAAAAAAGGGTCAAACAGGTTTGGGATAGAGAGGGACAGGGATGGGTAGGGTAGGGTAGGGTAGGGTAGTTATGTTATTATCCGCTAGGTATACGTGGCAGTAATAGGTTGGAAGTTTGTAAACGGGGCCCACTTGGAAGTTGCTATTTTACACGTGGCATAATTCCGTACATTTAACACAGGTGGAATTCAAAAAGGAGCAAAAAAAACGGTGAGTAACGGAAACTGAAGAAACAAACAGATTTGAGAGAGAGAGAGAACGTCGGCGAGAGTATAGATTTTAGATTATGGAGAGACAGTGGGTTAATAAATATAGAGAGAGTAGGGCGGTTGAAGTGACGGCAAATGGACGGCATCCCGAGGGCCGTTCTTTTGAGGCTTATAAATCGGTGAGGCAACGGTTTTGTTTCTGATATCCTCTCTCTCATCACGTGTCTCCCTCTCTTTCTCTCTCTATAATTTTATTTTTCCCCTTTTTGTTCCTTCTTTTCTTTGTTTTCATCTGCACTTTCTGTTTGTTTCTCTCCATATCTCTCTGCCGTTACGTTGGTATCCGAGTCATCTTTGACGGTGGGTCTTGGTTATATAAACCGCTATCTCCAGGTGTTTTCATTTGTGGGTTTAGACATACAGAGATATATAGAGGGAGAGAGAGAGAGAAAATACAGAGAGAAATGGAAGGAAGAAAGGAATTAGGTTCTTCATCATCTTCCTCCTTCACTTCTGATCTTTTTGGTTCAAAGGACTCATCTGCTTCTTCATCTTCTGGGATTTTCGGCTCTATCTTTGCACCTTCGTCCCAGGTATTGCCTTTTTTTAACAATCTGTTGATTATTATTCCTCCTGAATTTTGGAATTTTCAAAAAAAAAAAAAAAATATTATATTGTTTATCAGATTTAGGGTTGTCATTTCTGATTATTCAATGGAGCTGTTGTGTTTCTGTTGATAGATTTTAGAGTTTCATTTATTGTTTTCTTCTTTTGGGCGTCTAATCTTGAAGGTCTTTTTTTAAAAATAAAAAAAAATTAAATTAAATTTGGAAACCATTTCTGGACTGGATGTGGTGAATTTTATTTTATAGTGTTTCACTTGAGGATGAGGTACACCAATTTGGGGAACAAGTAAAACCCATATGGTGCAATGAAAAGGATTTTATAAAATGACAACTGTTTTGATTTTATTTTATTGAAGTTCAATAATTAAATTTGTTACACACCCAGAAAGATTATAGAGAGATTTTTGAGTCAGTTAATAGAAGAAATGGAAGGAGAAATAAAAGTAAATATGGAGTTTCCAAGACCTTTTTTTTTTTTTTGAGATTCAAAATAATGTCTTTATCCGCGTAGCTCCCTTTCCAACGTCATGTTTGGTTAAATTTACCTTGGTTTTTTGAGTCATCAAATTCAATTTGAAAGCTCTGAATTTTGGATAAATTGGTGTAATTTCAGGTGGTGGGTAGAGAGTCCGTGCGCTCAGGGTTGGTTGAAAAGAAGCAGGACTCTGCAAGTCAGGTTTGGAATGACAAACTTGGACCTCCAGGTAAGTGAAATGATTTTAGTTGTGTTTTAATCAACCTTTTCTGACATCTGAGTATATCTTTTGTTATATAAAGACGACAAATGATATATTTACAATATGGCAGCTGATTTGCATGTTTAGGCCAAACGTACATCATGTTCTTCCACTGCTATATATTCTATTTTGCCTTGTTTGGCTGAAGATTACTCAAAAAAGTGCTCCCTCTTATTTTCCCCCCTACTTCTTAAGGAACAGTTTAGGAACTTTGTTCCCCATCTACCCCTCACCCAAACAGATGAGGCTTAAGCCACTCTAACATCCAAAATTTTCTCTGCTTTTGTGTATGTTGTTGAATTTTATATATAAAAAAAAAAATCTTTTTATCTAGTTTTTCTGCTTCAATTATTTTAGACCAACCTGACTAATTCTTGAATTCTAGGACTATTCCTATTTGAGACCAAATTCATTTTTCTAATCTATCTGGGAAAAAATAAAATTAAAACACATTATAATTTACATTTGGAAGTCATGAGTAGTTGAAGTTAAAATCAAAGAAAAAAAAAGAAGTCCCAAGTACCTACCTTGTACACGGACAAGTAACAAAAGAACAACAACAGTGGAAACGAAAAAGAGGAGAGAATCCCACCCTAATGTTAAAATCAAATTCCCAAAAACAAAACGTGAGATGAGAATGGACATTTAATAATCATTCTGAATTCTCTGATTTACTAATCTTGGAAGGGAGAAAATCTTGTATTTATCATTAAAATAAATGTCTGTGTGTGGCCCTTAATCCTAAATAATTGTGATTTGAGAAGATTTTTTGTACCCTTTATTTAGTACTTAAGAGGATTAATTACCTACATTAATCGTATATCTTAATTAGGCAGATTTAGAAGATATTACCAAAGACCTCATTTATGAAGATAGCTTAATATGTAAATGAAGGGTTACATTTCACAATTTAGACCATTGCTTCCATTACATTAATTAAACTCCGAATTTCTTAACTGGGAAGATTTAGAAGATATTACTCAAGTACCTCATTTATGAAGATATTACATTAATTCATAAGTTGCGCCTTCAATACGGTTGAATTTTATATAAAAGAATCTTTTTATCTAGTGCTAGGCTTCAATTAGTACTTTAAACTAACCTAACTAAATCTTGAATTCTAGTACTATTTTTGGTCTACTTTGTAAAGTTTAACCCTTTAATATACAGACTGAGCTATCTTAATAATTTCTACTACTCTACTTGCTCAAAAACAGTGTATATAAACATTTTCTACACCAATCAATCATAAGTTGCACCTTCAATAATGGTAACACTTTGGGGTCGAACTGCTTAATTACCTACCAGGCTACCCCTTTGAGCAGGAGAGCTCGATCTACCTTGGCCAATGACCCAGTGTTTTTAACTTATTTTCTGTTGTAGCTTAAATCCTCAACCTCTTCTTTGAGGAATGGAGCTGACACTCAAGTTAATGCTTGGAGGTTATATTATATTTTCTTACTATGGATTCTTCTAAGAGTTAATCCTGCGCTCTTTTCAGTGACAAACCGTAACAGCAGTGAAGGTGAAGGTCAAAGCACGCCAAATAGGGACATGAACTTTTATCAGGAAGAAAAAGTACAACCATGTCATCTCAGCTCGTCCATATATTATGGTGGTCAAGATATCTATTCTTACCCTAAGAGTTCCCAGAGTTCTGGGCTCACAACTGTGAGTATTGTTTATCATGCCTAATATAAATGAATACTTCATTGCACACCAATTCGAGCACACTTGACTGATCTTTTATGCAGAATAATATTCGGATGCGGAGAATGATTTTTCTGTGTCATTAGGAGGTTCCATGATTCAGTTTGAAATGTTTTGACTTATTGCACCATTTCCCATATCTATAATTAGAAAAACAAATGTTTGGCACCCAATTTAATGCACTCTTCAGAGTATTTTATGACCATGCTAACTATTTTTTGTGATCTAATCAGTTCAACAAAGAAGGGGGAGAAGATGATTCTGGCAGTGCTTCTAGAGGAAATTGGTGGAAGGGTATGAAAAGCTGTGATTGTTATAAATGTTTATGAGAAGATTTTTTAACTCTGTACTCTACTAACATTTAATTGTTATCTAAAATATTTGTTTCTGCAGGGTCTCTCTATTACTAAAAGGTTCCTTATACTCTCCTAGGTATTTTGGTTATGAAATCTATTTTCTTTTCTTTTTTATCATTCTGTGTAATGTTCCGTGTTCTTTGTTCTAAATTGATATCTTTCTTTGCAGGAAGTTATGAAGATAGGGTAACAGCTATATTCTACCTTTTTGATATGGAAAAAGAGGATAGGCGTTCGATGCAGGCAGCTAGCCGCTTGTCGTAGCTTCCTCCATAGTGAATAGTTACATGCACTCTTTTTTTCTATATAGATATTACATAGTACTAGTATATAAATGTAAAAGGATGATGAACTGGATGGTCCAGTGTAAAGGATGGTTAGTATAGGGACTTCATTTAAAATGTTAAGCTCTGCTTTTGTGGGGTTTAACTATGAATATGAAGTCACCTCAAGTATCTTTTTATGTATGGTTGAATGATGGATCTTTACTGGTTTCTAGCTGTTAATATATATGTTTTATATATTTATGTTTGCAATTTATATGAGGTCATGAAAATCTCTTCTCTATGACCATTTTCAATGGCCTGAGTAAAGCACAAACAATATATATGGAAGGAAAATGCATAAAAGATGGAGATTCAACCTATTCCATATTTGAGCTTCAGATCATTAGTTGAGTGTCTTCTATAATTAACCCACATGCAATGTCAACCACTGATAGAAAAACAGTCCAAGTCCCGAGTCCCAGTGGTTGTTAAGTTTCGGTTGTAAAAGATTAATGAAGGGCAATGGCAACACACAATTCAGACTCATATTACAATCTTTATCAAGAAAGGTATATACATAGTGCTGGTTCTTAATATTTTCCTAAAAAGTCACAGCAGTAACTACTAATACCAGTAGCTGTTTGTTTCTTTAAGTAATTCGTGCTTGGTTTCGATGATCATATTGTTCATAGCAGTCCATCAAGGGACTGTATAAGCTGCAAAACAAGCATTTGAGATTCAGGAGATGATAAAAGAAGAAAACAAAAGGAAAAGAAGAAAATGAAGGTTGGAGAAACTACTTACGTCCACACAGGATGCTTAGGGAGGTTGCAGCGCTTGGGGATGGTCATAGCAACTTCTGGCTTGATTCCAGAACTCTTGGCCGTGTCAGAAAGCGTAACAGCACAGAGGCAGCTCAGATTCTGGCCTATTTTCTTAACCTGAAGGCAGCAATTGCCTGAAACAGTGGCTTTCTCATCTTGTGCTGCCATCGCACAAGGTGCCATCTTCATGGCCTCCTCGTCTGGAGAAGCTCTCCCACATGGTCCTGCCCCATCAGCCCCTACAGTGACAACAACAACGACGACAACCAAGCTTAAAATGCAGATGACCTAATTCATTGAAGCCTTGATTTCTCTATCCCAATGCACAAATTATGCTCTCCTGGTAATCCTTTTTTTTACTGCAAAAAGGCCTAAAAAATATGGTAGTCTGACAAAGCACTAAATCCTAATGGAGCAAGCACTAAAGCAAGACATGAATTACTTATTGCAGTATCCATTTAATTAGCTCCATATATTATATTATGCCTTACACAGATGCAACAATCTCAGTGACATTTTCCACCTCAGAGTGTAGATTTCCTTACACAGATGCAACAAATCTCAGTGACATTATATGATTCCTCTACCATATAATATAATTAAGTGGCATCCTCCTGTGAAAGCCATCTTTTCTTTGTGAAAATTTATATTTCTCTTTTAAGGCAACAAATGCAAATCTCATCCATTAACAATGAAAAACCCATAACCTTTTTTGGTTTAACAAAAATCAACCTTCTATCTATTTGTAATTTTAAGCTGACTAACATAAATTAGTTATTTCATTAATAATAAAATGTAAGCTAACTAACCAGAAGTCATCCTAAAATTAATGAAATCTTGTTCCAAGTTTCATGGGATAATGTTAATAGCTTTGCCTTCACTACATCTTGTCAGTGACTACAATGGTCATGCTTTATTTAATTGATAACATCAACTGTTCGTTGAGTTACAAAAATTAAAAATCGCCGTTGCCGGGGATCGAACCCGGGTCATCCGCGTGACAGGCGGATATACTCACCACTATACTACAACGACTTGTTGACGTCTGTATCTTCAACTATTGTAACTTAACGGAAGTTCATAACGTACTTTTTGTTCTTCACCTCTGGGAGGAAATAGTCATATATATATATATATACATAAACTACTGAAGATTCAAGTCTCAGTGAGGGAAAGTGAGTAATTATAAACACACACAGATCAATAATTCTATTACACACGTATTACATACAGGGCAAGATAATAGATTGTTATATATCTTCAAATGTGAGAAAATTTGAAAAAAAAAAAAAAAGCAAAGCAAATTTTAGAAACCCATTTTTCACAAGTTGATTTATTTAAGGAGAAGAAATTAGAAATGTATAATTGATGGGAGAGAGAATATTTCTCCCATGCCCACATATTGTACCATAAGGTAAATTAGACAAAGTATACCTTTTTAACCAACTTAATTAGTAGAAAGCTTTGGGGAGACTCACATACCTTTCACTTTTCTCAATTTCGTCTTGTTTGGTGACCCAACTAAGACAATGAAACTTGTATTTCTTCTCTCAACTCTCCATTGAGGATGATATTTCCTCATTATTAAATTATTAATAGAACTTTTATCAGTTAAGAAATAGCTATGCTTTTTAAAATCAAAATTATGATTTAACAAGAAAACATTAACCGTGGAATTGACTTAAATTTGTATTCCATTCAATCAAATATACTGATTGGTGATTACAGAAACTAGATGGCTAAACTAATTATCAAAATTAAATTGGCAACTGACAATGAAGAGCTTATACAACTCAGAAAAGAGAACCTGTCTGGTGAATGAAACAATTTTGAAATGCATATCCTTTATAAAGACAATACAAATCAGTCTAAATCAACTGCTTGAAAAGTGCTATCCATGCATTTAGATAGCCTTCTATTATCTAGACCGAATTGTTCCAATTTTTCCAATAGGTCTACATATCTGTTCTTTGCTGTAGAAAAATTTGCCTCTATATATGTTGTTCACCTGTATATTTTCTAAGGATTTCACATGTCGCGTGGATTTTGTATGCAAAAGCGAATTGCAATTAGCAAAATCCTAACCTGTCCATACTCCAATAACTGCATATTTGTGCTGTCAAAAATACAAGGAGAGTTGTAAAAGTCTTATGCAAAAGGACCTGTCATATCCATGAATCAGCTTAGCATGTGGAAATTTTGTTGGGAAAACTTCTTGAACTTCCTCAACAGGAAGGGTAAAACAATTCCAAGTTTGCTAACAGGTTGCATTGCCATTTGTTTCAGTTGAAATTAAAATGCACCGCGAAAATATAAATGGACGTCATCTATAGAATCCAAGAACATATCTAATATATATTCATTACCATTCACTTTTGTGTCAGTTCAATCAGTTGATATATGAGAACTCAAATGACAAAATCTCTCACTGCCATCTAAAAACATTTCAGTACAAGAAGAATGGAGTAAATTGATAAAATTTGCAGGTAAACTTTTTACATGTATGGATAACGTACATGAAGGAGATGGCTGAAGAGGCCAATTCTCAATAAAGTGGCTCAAAGCCTCAAGGTTCATTCTTCCACAGCTAAATTTTGTTTCAGAAAGCTGCCTTCTTTTGAATTCTCAATAGATTCTACTCCAGCTTTAGATGCTGATGCTTCTCGAGTGGTGCTTGAAAATGATTCTGATCTTTCAACTCGATTGGTGCTTGAAAATAATTCTGATCTCTCAGCTTGATTGGTGTAGTCCTTCCCTTTTGTATCAATACTAAGATAATCTGTCAAAACCTTTTTCACCCCAAACCCACGATGGAGAAGCTTGTTGCTAGTGAGGGATGGCGAATTTCCTCCCTTTGCAGGGCTAACTAGCAGTGAAGGTGAAAAGCTTGGGGTGGTAAAAGCTGTTTTATATGGAGTGCTCGAGACAGGCACTGAGTATGGAATTGCAACTCTTTTATGAGCGACTGCACCAACTTGAGAGAGTGACAAGAATTGATCTGAATGCTTCGTCATGTCATCCATGTAAAGTAGATCATCAATCCGTGCAACAATATTAAAAGCCAAGCTCTCCAAGACTCTTGAGTAGCTCTCCAAAATGGATTTGCCAACATCCTACAGAAACAGAGTTATTTCAGTAGCCGGGTAGTGAATTCCAACTAGAAGGCATGCGGAGAAAATAGAAGGAAAAAAAAACATAAGAGTTCGGTGAAAATCAAGACCTTGTTGTATTGGATTTTGCTCATATCTAAGGTTGTCTGAGGCAGGCCTGGGAATCGCTGCTTCAAGCAAAGCAAAAGGCTTTCAGCTCTTTCTGCAAGCAATTCCCTCTTGTGATCTACATCAATTACCAAATCCTTGACCATTTCCCACGATGATTTTGAATTGGAGCGGTTTGTTAGTGGTTTTGAGTTGGTTCTTCGGCGCCACACATACATTGAGGACTCTACTCGGTTTGCAATCTCTAGAGCATGATGTTCAGAAGACAAATCAAGGCAGTCAAGAAGACATTCAGATGAAAACTGATCTGATGTGATATATCGATGAATAAGATCACCCAAGGAGGCTCTTCCATTCTGCAACCAAGACAAATCAATATGAATCAACAACTTAGTCTCATTGATCTCATAAAATTATGTTATTCCCTGGAACTTCTATACCTTGGGAAGAGAATCATAGTATGATTCAGGGACATCCATGTCAGCTAAAGTAATACTGTTAATAGCCATAGAAGCTTTTAGTATTTGGTTTGTGCAATCACGTTTGTGCTGCAACTGCTTTCTTGAAATGTCACTTAGACCACCAGGAGGGACTCGCGGAACTGGTAGCCACCATTTATCCTCTTGGTGTGGAAGGGGTCGTCGGAAAGATGATGATCCATCAGCATCTGGGGCTAGAATACCTTGATCGACATACCAGAATTCTGTGTTTTCAAAACTGTCCAATATTTCCTGTGGAAAGAGGCTCAAATTTAGAATGACCTCTCAAGCCTCCAGCAATAAATTTAGAAATAATTGTTATTGAACCTTACCAGAACCATGTTATCTAGTTTACGCAGAGCTGGGAGATTAACATAAAGATCCGATCGGGGTCTACAGGTCATAACCTGAATCATTGCACAAAAAGGAAATGTTTTGAAGACAAATTTCAAAGACTCATTCAAATATTTAGCCACATGACCGATAATTTCTACTCTTGGTATTGCCCGCATTTCATTTCGGATCACATACATGTTCAAGCACTCAATACTTTGAAAATATTTTACCATGCCATGGGAAAGTTGATTAGTTTGCCTTACAAAATTTAAATGTAAAATTAATTCATGATTTGAAACTAATAAACTTAAATTTCGATTTAATGAAATTTAGATTTACCTCAAGCTTGCTTCCATCTGGAAAGGTCTGCCAAGAGGGTATCAACTCAACAATGTGATCACTAACACAAAGAAGCCACTCCATCTCCCTCCGCCACATCAATTTCTTTTCAGGTGCTAGAGGTTCCAATCTCCAGAGTTGCCCAAACAGTGTAGCTAAAAATTGGGTATTGGTATATAATAACCATCAAAAGACAGGCCAATGAAGGAATTGCATACTAACCCTAGCCAAATTCTCATCAAATAAAAGAAAATTAATTAATTTCAGGCAAACAAACACACAGATATCATACCACACAGATTAGTAATTGCATTTGAGATGGCCAATGCTGTACAAACCCCATTTCCACATCCAGACATATCTTCTCCAAGCAGCAATTTAGAAAACCTTTCCTTCATCATCTCAGTCTCTATTTAAAACCCAGTTAAACAAAATAAAATTATCAGACAAATAGGTAAAAATGCATACATAGACATACACACAAACACATAAGGAGAAAGAGAGATGATACACTTAGAACCTGGCATTGATGACCCTTGTTTCTCCAACTTTCTATCATCCCGTTGGGGCTTCTCTACCTCTTCAGAAACATCAGAACTGGCACAATGTGGCACTTCAGTCTTCTGAATAGGCCAACCCATTGAAGGTGGAGAAGATGAGTCCTCAGAGCTACTATGACTCTGTTCTTCATTCACAGTTGCCTCTGATGCCAAAAAATCAGAACTTGAACTACATTCTCCAGCCTCCTCTTCAATCTCACCCACAAAATCCTCAATCTCATGCCCATTTTCACTAAACCCATCTTGTCTTTCTTCCATTTCTTCCCTTTTCTCAACTAATCCTTCCATTTTAGCCTCTATCAAACAAGGTGAAGCACAATATACAGTGTTGTTCACTACCATACCAGTGAAGTGTAACCTTCTGAAGCAATACCCATTTGATACTCTAGCTCTACTGTACAAACTTCTAAGTGATTTTAATACCCAAAAGCTTAGTAGAGAAAATGGGTTTGGGTTATTGGAGCTTTTGAGATTTACCAGTGGAAGACAAAGCTTGAGCTGTTGGTGGTTTTGTTGGTGGTGTTGTCTTTGTCCTTGGTTTGAAAGGGCACTATCCATAAGGCTTCAACCATCTCTAAATTTTTAAGAGTAGAAGTGAAAATGACAAAAATATATATTTATGCAAGAAGAGTAAAGATGTGTCATGATAACCTGAAGGCTGTTCACTCTTAGCACATGATATATGTTGTACAGAGCCAAGGGGAGCGTAGCTTTGCTTAAATCAGGCGCCTCTCTCTCTCTCTCTTAAAAAATGTCTTTTTTGTTTTGTTTTGCTTTGCTTAAACATGACCTCATAGCATAATCAATTACTACCTCCGTCCCACAGTATAGGTTCATTAATAGTAATTGAAGTTTTTAAGATGATTTGTAATTAATGCATTATTTTTTAAAAAAAATTATTAAATTATTTTTTTTAATTTAAATATATATAATTACAAAATTTGAAATTTTTTTAAAAAATAAAGGATAATGATGAAAATATAAAAAAGAAAAATATTTTGTCTTTTAAAAAAAAATCACTAATTTGAGACATATATAAATAAAATAATAAACTATTAACATGAAAAGGAGGGGTATATTACGGACTTGTGATATTATTATAAAATATGTTTAAAATTAGTTGTATATGATAAAGTAAGGTCCCGGGAGTTGTGCTAGGGCGGAACTTCCGATTATGTCCCCCATATATCCTTCATATTGTTTGTTACTTGCTAATTTCCTAGGCCATGTGTTAAATTACCGGATTACCCTTTTTCTAAATTACTAAATTACCCTTCACAGCAACTGAATGATCTTCTTGTTCATGAGCATCATCATGCCATGAGGCATCCATTAATCCAGTCTAGCTTCCTTTTGAAGAAAAATGTAATGATGGGGATTTACTTGCACAATCATACTGAAGGTTAATTTTGCTATTCTCATCATCACTTGAATTTTAGGAAACAACATAAACTGCTCTAATTATGATTTTTTTTTTTTTCCCCCTTAATTTTTAATGCATCTGTTGTACTATGAGCCAAGTTTTAGTACAGTAATTATGTACTCACACACAGTGGTCAAAATTTTGTTCTACTGGGGACACTTCTGTTGTAATTTAAACACTTAAATGCTATCACTTGTCAAGTTGTGACTTTCTGGAAGTTTTAAATGCTAGTTACACTTCATTTTTATCGCTCAAACAAGGCTAGACATATATGCCAAACTGTCGTTGCCAAAGGATGTTTTGTCAATTTCCGACAAGAAAAAAAAATGGATGTTTTGTCCATGGGACGAAAGCCAGGCATGAGAATCAAGACATCAGAAGACTATTTTAGTAATTTCGCATTAGCCCCCGTGGTTTAGGGTAAAGGGGTAAATTGAAGATTACTGTACCCTAGCTAAATCCAACTTCTATCCCCAAAGTCCCAAACCCTATTGTGCCCTCTAAATCCAAACCCAAAAAGGTCAATTGAAGACTCCCTCTGAGGCATTTTGGGATGCATAAAGTAATAACATTTTCATTTTTAATTGGTATGAAAAATGTGTGCACATTTGAGCTAGCCCTAATTAATAATATAAGCCTAAGCATGAGGTCATGCTTGAATGAGAAAAAAAGTCTATTTAGAAAGCATTCAGGTTTTTTTAACAAGAGATGACATAGAAAAATGACTTTTAGTTTTGGAAGAAAAGTGAAGAAGTTGGGATCTCATTATAATCATAAAACACCTTAAGATATACTACTTCCCCCCACTATTTTGTAACTTTCCTTGTAAGCTAGTCTTCATTTTTTTTATGTGTTATTTAGTTACTTCAATTTTGATCATATTGCCGGTTGTTCCAACTGAAAAAGAATGCAAAGATAGGCTCCTCCCAACGGCTAGTAAGTTGTGTTGGTTGATGTTGATAGTTCATTTGAACAACCTTAGAGGGAAAGAGAAAGTTGTTACTCTCTCTAGTACTTTGTGCAGTGTTTAATAATGATTTATACACGTTACACACATACTTTGGCATTTGAACTACTACTGATTTCCTTAGTCTTTTAATAATGTTTTTATATGGTACATGTCACAACACAAGCTTGACTTCGTTTTAAATTTTTGAATAGGAACCTTTTAGGGGAGAAAATTATTATTGTTAAGGAATTGTGTATAAACATTAGTAAAATATGTCTAGTGAAGATTTAGAATTGCCTCGGAATCAAAGCAAGTATACACAATTATTCTTTTGTATTCGGCACTAACGAGTACCATTCACCTTGTTGAAATATTTTCATAATAATATCAAATTTGTTGGTATTTTAAAGATTATTATAAAATGTGATTCATATAAATCAATGGTATCGAGTGTCATTGTGTCAACTAAAGATACTTGTGATAAATAAATCACAAAAATTAGTCTCATATAGGTAATACCATATGATCGTGTCAACTTTTTCCAATGGCTTTAAAACTTGGAATACAATTATGGTGATACACCATATTGATCATTTGTATATTTGGTGAGATACTATCACCAATTAATTAACTAAATATTTACCAAAATAACTTGATGCATTGGTACCACCATGAGTATATGGGTGGCCAAGATGGGGATGGGAATGGGAATGGGAATACAAAAGGCGATAGGCACAAAAAGTTGCAATCACTTACTGCACAGATGACAATGCTCTGCTTCTTCATTACCAAAAACAAACGCAATAAAAGTTTTGAAATGTAAACCCTAAGTAGACTCCCAAGTTCTTTTCTTTCCATGAATTCAAACAAAAACATAATGTTTACATAATATCTTTTAGAAGATTAACTGGAATGGAATAGTCTTCTTTTTTCTTTTTCTTTTATTAATGTTTTAGAGCATGGAGATACATTCAATGTGAAAAGCGCCTTGAAAGTTGAGAGGACATACAGGCGCACACATATATTGTTTTTTATAAAAATAAAACTAAAATAACCTTGTACATTGAGCTTGAGTTCATTTGTCTTCAAAATCTTCCTGTGAATCTCAAACTTAGAGCAACTAAGAAAAATCAAATATCAACCGCATAGAAATTTGATATAATATTTATAATCAAATTAGTTATTTTACTCTATTTATAATGACAAAAAAAAAAAAAAAAAAAAAAAAAAAAAAAAAAAAACCAACCTAAATTATAAGAAAACAAACAGCATAGAAAAATCGTATAACGTAAAGAAATATAAAAATCAACGTTCAATAAAATAAAATCACCATAAACAATAAAATATAAACGTTCAAAATAAACAAATACCTTCGTAACCCGACTAGATTGGTCCCTATTATTTTTTAGAGCCCGATTCTAAACTTTCGCACCTTTAACTTTTAATCTAACACACTTGTCCTAGAAGAAATAAATAAATAGATATCAGAACAATCCAGATTTATTTAGACTACGAACAAAATTTTTGCAATAATCAACAAACCTCCTATGAAACACAAAAAGGGGATTTTGGATTAGATTTTGCTTAATGGATCATGCAAAAAACACTCATTTCGGGTAAAAATGGACTTACCGAATTGATGAAAATTCTGTCTTACATCAAAACACTCATTAGGCTTCAATTTGTTTTAGAAGTTTTTTGTAATAAAAAATCAACCCACCCACTAATCATTTTAAATTCTCAAATGATTCCTAAATTCATTAGGCTTCAATTTAGTCATAGTTTGTAACGAAATTTATATTATATTTGTTCTTAGCACAAGTTTTAATTAGATATCACAATCAAGACTGAGAACACGGTTATGAATCTCAGTATAATTAATTTGTATAAATAATAATAGAAGGATATAGACCTTCTAAACACTGATCACACTCTCACTTGACAAGAATTATACTAACCTATAGTCTATATTTATGGCACAATCCCACTTTATATGGCAATTATGAAAAAATTGGCAAGCAAAATTGAAACTTCAATCCTGTCCACTAATATTTTCAAACCTAAATTTAGCAGTTATAAAAACACAATATTATCATTTTTGCTTGAATTAAGCTATTTGTGAAACCAAACATGATGAGTAGTTACACAGATGATGATGTGGCATGATTTTGATCATTGAATTGAAGCTTGGAGAAATTGGAAAGAAATAATACTTGGAGATAAGTTGGGGGTATTTTTCCGAGTCCTTTGGAACTTATAGATTATCTAAAAGCTGATTTTAGGAATGGACGTTTAGTGTGTGATGAGATGGAAATGAATAAGTTTAAACTATTAACATCACCAGCGGCCTTTATTTCTCAAAAAGATACCATGATACATTTTAAAAAAATTTAGAAATTCGGACATCGGTGGAGGGTGAGTGAATTGCTTAGCAGTTAGCAATAAAGATCACAAATGACTTGTATCACGAGGAAATGGGGGAGAACCAACATATTCAACATCACAATCGAGAGAGCCCCGCAATTGAGGAGTATTTGGGCCAAGTTCTTTGACAACTTTAGAATGATGTGTTAAAAACCTTAGGAACCCAGTATTGGCAAAAAGAAAAACTAAATTAAATACTAGTAGTATTATACCTATTTGAGCCAAGTTAAAAAAAGCGGCTAACTTTGCGAACAGAATGGCTATGGTTAGGGCATTAGTCACAATGTGATGTTAGAAGAAATTGGTCTCATTTTGCAGGCTCATCCTGGTTTCAATCTAGTTTGGGCCCCAAAAGCTGCAAACAAATCAGCCCACCTCCTACGAAATTGGGCTTTTAACAACTCATCTTTGGATTTAGAAATATAATATCTGGCCCAACTGGCTTCGTCAAGCTTTGGATGCAGATCTTGTTGTTGCCGGACCATAAAAATAAAAAGTATTATGAGATTGTTGCTATAAATTTGCCACAGAAGAGAGCTTGTAATGCACTGAAGTTAAGTTGTTGGTGTTGGGCGTTACAACTTAGAATTCATTATGTCAAATGGATGATAATTCAGGATGATGTGATAAAAGCAAACGACATCATTTTGACATCAACGAAAAGTCTTAATATACCAGGAATCAGGACGACTGTTGCCCATAAAGAGATTTTATTTTTCTTTCTCATCTTATGTTTAGGTTGAATGATAAGGTGGGTGAGTCACCCAATAGGTCACTTCTTATGAACTATATCATTCATGAATCATGTATCCTATCCTCGGGGGCGGCTCCAGCCTAGACTACTTAGGTGTTGCCTACAGCTCAAGTCAATAACAAAGCTTTAAAATACTATAATTCATTTATATAAGTTATAT